ATTATGTGCCAATATAATAAATATAGTCTAATAAATAATTACAAATAATAAAAAAAAAAACCAAAAAAAAAAAAAAAAACCAGAGGATCCACTAATTAGTCTTAAATAAAACAAAAAAACAGTAACTCCGAAAAGAAAAACCAGAGACATTTTGAGATTCAAAATGTCTCTGTCTCTTTTTGGAGTTACTACCTTTTTGTTTTACAAATAATTATAATGTAATACTATTTCATGTTTTGCGGATAGATCAGAAATATGGTTTTCATATAAAAGTATATTTTGACTTGCAATATTTATTTTTATGTCAAGTATAATAGTATTAATAATAATAGTAATAATAATAATAATAATAATAATAATAATAATAGGTATTAATAATAATTGAAATAATAATAATAATTATAATAAGTTATATAGCGCCACAATGGTAATCTTCAAACGCTTTACAACCACACATACACTAAAGGAGCAAATGAGTGGAAGAAGACGACAATGAAAGAAAAAAATGTGTTTTGAATAAAGCCTTGGAGTACTCTAGTATGGAAGCTTGTCGTGAATCAGGTTCATCATTCCACACAAGAAGCGCAGTGGGGGTTCAGGCGCCCGGGCACCCTCTAAATTTTTTAAAGTAATATAAATTAAAATTGCTTTTGGCAAAGTGCCATGATCATAAAAAGATGGTGGGGGCTGAGATGTGGGAATCCGGACCTCATCTATTACGAATTCCTGAGTCAGGAAAATTATTTTTGATTAACAGGAGGGTCAATATATCTAAATTATGAAATTGATCTCAAAGTTATGAGATTGATGTTCTACTAGCATTAGCTTTCGTACCGGTTGATACCACGTACGCCGAACATACGGTTATTACATTTATATTTAGTGATACGCCTATATTTAAATTTGTATTTTTAGAACTTATTTTTAAAACTTTTTCTATATTTACAACATCGTAATTGGCTAATAATAATAATAACTGAGACAACTGTGTTTCTGCATAATAATAATATGCAGAAACTTATAACGCGCCAATTCAAAAAACATTATCAAAGGCGCAGTGAACAATTAACCCAATTAAAGCGATTTTGTAAACAAAAAAGTTTTCAAATTAGTTTTAAATGAGTTTAAATTTGAAGATTGTCGAACAAAAAGAGGTAATAAATTCCAAAGATAAGGTGCCTAATACAAGATAAAGTTTATTGTCTCGAAAAAAATTGTACAATTCAAACAAAGCCACATTAAAATTGATAAAGAAGAAAACCAGAAAAAAAAAGGGAAAGAAAGATAAAATGAATAATGATGCGATTGTCAGACATATCCAGTTCTTGCATCCCATCAATTAATTTAGTAATTTTTAATGGTCATCTGTAGTGGCATGGTAGGGACTAGTATCGGCAATTTCGGAATCTGAAAGGCTTACTTGATCGACTTTACTCTCACATTCTGTAAAACTTGCACTGGTTTTCTCCACTAGTTTTGTATTTTTCTCCCCTACAAAGGGGAAGGAAAGCTCTCCCCGCACGACAGGTCCTCAGCCCCACATCTTGGCGTTACCAAACAGTTGATATACCAGTTAGCAATTAAATCCTCAATGAGCATCTGTATCAAGCCTGTTTTCAACAAAATCGCTACACTTTCGCTAGCGTTTTCATAGCAATTGTACTTGCACTCCATAGATGTCCCTAACGCAGTCGGGAAGGCTTCCCGATTTGACAGATCAATAATCGTCGCCGAAATAATTCGGCGATAGCGTGTAGCAACTTTATGGAAATCAGCTAAGTTGTGACAAAGCCAAAACGATCTAACATCCAGCATATTTTCTTCATGTTGTTGTCCCAATTATTCTTCTATCTTCATAAATGCAGAGTTTGTTCCCTTGATTGTCCCAGAATCATCTACTACACCCCTTTCTTCTCACTCACCATTCTATGACAAACATGTGACACGTCTAAATATGGTCATGATGACATCACATCATGACCATATATGGGCACATCATGACTATATATGGTCATACAACAGTCTTGTCAAAGAAAATTTGATAATCTGCAAAAATGAAACATGGTGGGGCTGAGGTGGATGTGGACTCTGGCCCATCTGTTGGGGAACAATGGACCACCTGTTGGGGAAAGCCGACACAACCCCGCTTGACTCGGTGTTTCCAATTCGGATTTTGAAACTTTATCTGCACATTGCGCTTGCGTCTTTGTCAACATAATACTGTAAATTTGAATTAGATAGTTATACCAGTTGAAATATGTAAAATGTGTATAATGTCTCTATTCTTAGAATTATAATTAATTTTTGTATATATTGTCTTAATTCTTACTGAAATTTAAAGGCTTGAATACAATTTGGCTTTCTGCCCACGACTAGTGACCGCTTTTTATATTGATGTCTTTTTTATATGAATAACTGAAATGAATGAATAAACTGGAGCTTAGCTGAGGATGCATTAAGCCGTATCAACTTATTAGGTAGTTAATGCTAAGTAATTGTTGTCTTATGGTGTTGTCACATCGCTTATATAGTATTCTATATACTGTACAAATGAAATAACGACTAAAAACATTTACAATATGCTACACATCACATACAAAGCTTTATTAACAGATTAATCACATTTCTATTAATACTATACAGTATATTCATATTTAAATAAACTAAATTACATTTTCTAATGTGGTGAATTTTTAGATTCTACGGATAACGTACAGGAATTTGCATGCATATAATCCTTGATATTGCTAACATTTTTTTTATTGATGGAGATATTGGTCAGGAAATAAGATTGTATAATAAAGGTGTATAATTAAGAAGGAACTGTTGGAGCACTTAAACTGGTTTAGACATAGATCAGGCAAAAATACTTACGTTAGCCAAAATGACAAAACTTGGCCAGCAAAAACTAATGTGCGAGAAGCAAATTAAACACAGTGAATGACTTACAAATGTGTCAATGATTTAGATAGCGGGATTGAAAAACAAAAGCTACTCCTAATGTGTTAAGGGGTTTAGGGTGTATTAGTGCAGAAACATTTTTTTGACTATTAAGATGTTTTAAAATTAATTAAAACCACGATGCCCAACTGCAGTCTACAGTAAGTTCAGTGACTTTGCACCAAATAGTCTTGTTCTCAAGAATGGTCTTCATGTTCTTAAAATTCTCTAAGCCACATGGTCTTGTGTCTTTAAAGTCTCTAAGCCACATGGTCTTGTTCACAAGAACCTCCAGTCCACATGGCCTTGTTCTCAAGAACCTCCAGCCCACATGGTCTTATTCTCAAAGATGATGCTAGACTTCTAACCAGGTGCTCAGAAGGTGGTGGATAGCAGGTATTGCACAAATATTGTTGTAAATGTTTGTAATATAACTGGACCATGAAGACCGATATGTCAGTGCAAGTTTTAATACAACCCTGAAAGAATAAAACAAGCTTTGAAAAAGTGAAACTCTGATGAGGGCAGTATAATAGAGGCAGTAGATCTAAACAAGATCTATTAATTAATTAATCAGCCGAGTGTTTCTGGAGCTCCTCATGAGGCAAGTATAACAGAGGCAGTAGATATAAAAATATCTACCAATCAACTATTAATAAAGTAGCCACATGAGGGCAGTATAATAGAGACAGTAGAGCTAAGAAAGATTTATTAATCAATCAGCCAAGTGTTTCTAGAGCTCCTCATCGGAGGAGACATCATCTAATTATTCTATGCAAAAACATCATCTAATTATTCTATGCAAAGACATCATCTAATTATTCTATGCAGTACTTTTTAAAAATTTACAGTTGATTTTTACACATCCATCCAAATTACTTCTCCAAGTGGTTTAGGATAAGAATTATAATAATAATTATTATTATTATCATTATTATTACTACTATCATTAATTATTTATTATTATTATTATTACTATTGGCAGTGATGCCAAATGTATAAATTTATATAATTCAAATTTACCTTTTAATCATCATCTTCTGGCACAAAAATGTCATTTTCTTCCAAGAAAGCAGCTCCTTCTTTGCTGATGGTTGCACCAACATACATGAACGGAGCGACGACGATGCAGACCAGAGGTAGTCCAAAGCGAACACTGGTAGGCGCTGGCAAAAGAGCACCTTTAGAATTTGTCACTTCATTTCTAATCACTTGATGTAGCACAGGGTTCGTCTAAAGTATGAAAATATTGCATTTAATAATAATAAATAATAAATATTTATATAGCGCCTAATGATAGTAACATCTAGGCGCTTAACAACAACATAATAAACAATTAAAAATAATAAATATAAGACAAAAATAAAATGAAAATGAGCAGCGATGCAGGAGATGGTGACATTCAAGTGGTCTCACCCACTGATGTCAAAGTAACGTCGCTGTCTCAATGAGGCAATTTACACGCAGGTAATCCACAAAAGGCAGCAAGCTGGACTTCAGCACTTTCCACCACAAGATAAGCCTGTGGCTCCACTACTGTGCGCTGCCGAGACAACGACGTTACCTTGAGTAAGGACAACCTGAAAATAACAATAATAAACATCCAGCAAGTTAAACGGTCAAATAAAAGTGAGTAAATTATTATTTTTCATTGCATTGATATTGCATATACAGAGAAATTTAGTTTCACAAGAATTATAAATAACAGTATAGCAGGCCATTTGCCTAGTTGACTTGGGGCCGAGTTGACTCGAATTCCTGTAGACTAGGCCTAGCTTGCCTACCTACCTAGGCCTAGCCTAGCCAAGCCTCCTCTCCAGGCCTAGCCTAGGCTAAGAAAGACTAAGCCTAGTCGAAAGCGTTGTATATTTTGTCCTTTCTTTTCATAAAGCACCTGGTGGAGTGAATGGAGCATAATATGAATAGCAACTAGGCCTAGCGTTAGGCTATATCGAACATGATTATTAGAGCTACCTTCAGGCCACCAAAGACTGTTCGATGTTTTAGTTGGAGAAATCTCACAGCCACTCTACCACCAATGGAAGCCATTTTCTTGCTTTGTTTGTTGATGCGAGAGAGAGGAGGTTCCAGGAAGTCAAATATGGAACGCCATTAGTATCTCCAGTTACTATGTTTGCACATAACCGAAGATACTAGCGGCGTTCCATAGTCATCTAGTTTCCTGTAACCCTGTTGCAGATCCTAGTAGCAAGGCTTCACACCGCCACGCTTTGCAAAGCATCTAGGCTTTGCACAACCGCATGGTGAAAGTTTTTCTGAATGTAACATTCGCGTCATTTTACGCCAACCAATAATATATCGCGTCAACTTGTGCTAATTGCATCAAATAATGCTACATCGCGTCAACTTGTATGCTAATTCGCGTCAACTTACGTCAACAACCAGCGGTCAACGTTGCAGCAGACCAGACTGGCATCAAAATAATTAATGGCGCGAGTGGTGGGCCTAGGCCTGTGCCTAGGTTTTTGCAAGCTCTGTTCACGTGGAAGAATGATATTAAGGTTGAAGCGATGCTGTGGAAAGAGGTGAAAATGTGTTATTTTAGTTAACCTTTTCAATTCAATGAGAAACTCTATGAATTCCTGGCTAGTGGAAGTGAATGCTAGGCCTGGGTTGGAGACCCTGCCTGGCCTACTATAAGAAAGTAGCCTAGGGGCTAGGCCTAGAGCTAGAGAGGGCCCAACAATCCGGCACTGAGAGGCCTAGGCTAGGCCTAGGCCAGGCTATATACTACTAGCCTCCTAGATATAGATATAGGCCTATACTAGGCCCGGGCCTAGGCTTACTACTCTAGGCTGGGAAAACGGAACTAAGTAGTAAAGACTGAAGATGATAGGGTTGGGACCGGGATTATAGATAATTTGATTTGAATTTAATTAGCAATCGGCATCAGACTAAAATACAAAAACAAAGAAGACAAGACAAGGTAAAACAATACTACAATTGAATACTCTGAAAGCAAGGAAGGAAGGAAGGAATAGCCCAAAAAGGTTTCAAAGAAACGTATTTCCATTTGGATCTTGCAAACGAAACATTCAATTGCCAAAAAAGGAAGAACAGGAAAGGTATCAACACAAAGCTAAAATGGAAAAAGGATTATTTATAATTTTAAAAGTGATGAACACACATTCACTTTCAAGGTTCAGGATGATCATATTATTATTATTATTATTATCGTGCGGGCCTGATAAAATATCTTACCCGATTTTCTCCATGCCGAATTGTTCATGAAGTACCGGTAAACATAATAGGGACAAACCGTTGCCAGAATTTTTGTATTATTTCAAAACTATTGTATTAAAATTTTAGTAAAAATGCCACCTAGGCCTGACTTAAAAAATATTATTTGATATTAATTGTATTTTGCTGTTCCATGTGTGAGACATTTAGCCTTCATTGGCTAATTCTTTTATTATTTCTTATTCTTCACAATTTGCCCAAACAGAAAATTTTGAGGATTGAGGATAGTGGAAATTAGAATTAAGGAGAGAATAAGTGAGTTTTTATGTTGTTTAAGAAGACAAAAAAGAGTCTATAGATAGAAAAGCAGTTGTGCAGAGACTGCCGTCTATCTAATGAATTAAGCAATGCTTATAATCATGTCCGTTTTTCACAGACTTCAAATTGTGTTTGTTGTCATCACACTTGTTATAATAACACAGCTTGTAACATCTGTATCATCATGGGCAACATGTCCCGTACTCACCTATCTACCCATCTCCAGGTTCATGTGCGCACTTCCGGGTGACATCCGTGACAACCCTCTACTAGACCAGCAAGGTCTTCCCAGATTCAATGCCATCGGACCAGACCATGTTGTCCCAGGAATTACATTCCTGGTGGAGGAATGTGAGGTTGAATTAAAAAAGTTGGAACATTCATTAGAAGGTTAGTCGGAGTTCTTTGCACCAAATTTTTGAGTGGAGGTATGCATAATAAAAATATTTATAATAATAATAATAATTATAATTATTATTATTATTATTAATTTTATTACTGTATTATTATTATTATTATTATTATTATAATTTGCATATAATACTATATAGTTATAAAATTGCCTGGTATTCAGTGTTTTTTTTTTGTACTTGAACTCTACAATGTTTGTAAACAGCATTATTGGAAACTGACTTATTTTGTTTTGAAATAGCAATTCAGTGTTAGTGGTTCTTGTTAACAGTAGCAAACTTTGCAATCAGCAGAGTATTTTATTTCACCTGTATGTGTGTGTGTGTTATGCTGAAGTTTGTAAACAGTAATATTATGTAATTTAGTGTTTTAAAAATTCATATGTAAATACTGAAGTGCTTTGGGTATAAACCCACTTCTACATTTCACCTAATTTTACATAACAAGCCTTTCTTAAGACTCAAATTCCTGGATCAGCCACTGTATCTCCTGGAAATGACTTCTTCCAACCCTGTATAACATTGACATTAATTTTAGTAATCCTGAAGATTATTACAAGAGAGATGGGTATTGCCAAATAAAGAATTAAATCTAAAATTGATACTTTTTAAAATTTCCCTCATTATAATCTCAAGGTGAAACAAAACGCAGAACGTGGGAAACAGTTGTTGAGGCACTGGAACTACTTGGTTCGCGTCTGTCGTACGGATGGGGTGTCGTCAATCACCTGAATGGCGTTCAGAACAGCGACAAGCTGAGGAAAGCATTTCAGACTGTACAGCCAGAAGTTGTTAAAGTTTCTAGTTTAGTTGCTCAGAGTCAACCAGTATATAAAGCTATGAAAGTGGGTAGACATTCATATGAATAACAAATAATATTATATTATTTGTTATTCATATGAATAACAAATAATATAATAAAAATAATGCTGATATATTTCTAGTATTTTTATAATTACCTACATATTTATATATTTGTATGTACAATTTGACTTCTAATAAATACAAATATTTATAAGGTGCTAGCATTTGCCAATGAAATAGAGCTCTTACATGGAAAAAATAGAACATTGACATTTTTATTTATCCTTTCTTTCAGTGAGACTTTTTGATTTCTTGTTTCGCCTGCCAATAATTATTTTTTATAATAATGAAATTTTATTCCCTGATTCAATTCTCTCTGCTGACCTCAAATCTAAAATTCAAGCAGAAATCCAGTGCCTAAAAGACAGTCATATTACATTAATAAGGTATTTTATGTTGTTTTTTCAACATTTTTTACACTTATATTAAGTATATTGTACTTCTGAATTATTCTTAAGGAGCTGGAAACCAATAATGGCGGCCTTGATGGGCCTCAGTTGCGGATCATCTCTTCTGCAGTTCGTAGTGCAAGGCTAGGTGGAGCTGAGTTAACAGGCTCCGACAGGCTACGCTTCAACAAAATCAATCAAAATCTGGCAAACCTTAGCAATCAGTTCAGGTAACACAACCAGTAATATATTTAAGGTACTTTCTTTAGGCAATTAATAAGGTACTTTCTTTAGGCAATTAATTGTTGCTTTAGCCATTCTCTCCATGAAAATATCTGGCCGTCATTGATCAACTTTTTAGTTAAATTAAATTGAATTTGAATAAGAGTGTAATCATAATTGTATTTACTATGTGAGATTGTATTTTGTTAATCTAAAAATTGATGTTTTCTATTAGTGTATTTTCAAAAGTTTCATTTGTTTTTCTATATCGATATTCAAAAATAACCAATCAAATGATCTAATTATATTAAATGATATAATTTGATATGATATAATTATTAATATAATAAATGATATAATTATATAATAAATGATATATATTTTTTGTTCAGTAACAATGTTTTAGATGCTACAAAGGCCTTTGACCTTGAGCTGTCAGACAAGAGGGATGTAGAGGGTCTTCCAGATACTTTACTTCAATTGATGGCAAGCAATGCGGCTAAAGATAGGTGAATATATAAAAAACTATTATATAGTATCTTTTATAATCAATCGTGATGTCATCACTGTAAACTCTCAATGTTATTTTCCTATTCCCAAATGTACACTGATTTTTTATTAGTGCACTGTTTACTTGATCTTTTATAAGAACAATTAATTTTATACGTAATATTATATTGTATCGTTTTCATTTAGGCAAATGGGGCAAGGATTCCTAATGTGAAATTAATCAAAGTCTTATATAATCACAGTAGTGGCTAAATGAGTACAGTTGTTTCAGTCGTGAGAAAAACTCTTGTCACTGATATTTTGAAAATTATTATTACATAATTATAATAATTCTCTATTGGTTTTTACATAATTTTTTTATTACAACCCTTCAATTTAGTGCTAACTTTGAGAGTGGTCCGTGGAAGGTAACGTTGGACATGCCCTGTTTTGAACCCTTAATGAAACACTCAAAGAACCGAGAGCTGCGTGAACATGTTTACCGGTCCTACATTAAACGAGCATCTGAGGGCACTCATGATAATACACAGATCATTGAAGATATTAGACAGCTTAGGTAAGTTCTAGAATAATTGGATATATTGGGCTTAGGGATGTAGGTTCAATATTGTGGTCCTTCTGGTCTTCGGGTACAAGCTCTCCATTAAATCAGCAAATTTCGTCTTCAAAGGGGGTGGTCATTTATGTACGAAATTATAATATAAACAAGATCACTCACCAATTCAGTTCACACTTATTTTCTTGCATGTTGTATCAACATATAGAAGTATTTTCAGTGTGAATCACACTAAGTTCAAAGACTTCCAGTGTGGTCCTTCTTGTGGTGATTGGCAGTACACCGGCAGACCAATCCACTACTCTTTTCTGAAGAGTGTACTGTGTTCTTTAACATGCACATGATCCATAATGCACATGGGGAAGATGGTGTGCTATCGTAACTTGCATTTCAGCCCTCCAGCTGAAATACAAGGAGAGCAGCAATGGGAATTGAATTGGGGACCAAGAGATATCCACAGTTCAGCACAAACACAGTGGCTACTAACAGTTTAGCTGCCTGAGCTAAGCTGCTCACTCAATATAATAATATATTTTTGGTTTGTGTTTCTTAGAAAAGAGAAAGCTGACCTCCTGGGGTTTCCAAATTTTGCAGCGCTCTCCTTAGAAACCAAAATGGCTTCCAATGTCCAAAATGTTTGGAATCTTATTAACAGTTTGAAGGAAAAGAGTAGGAAGGCATCAGAAATGTAAGTATACCTTTTTTTTTAAATTAAATTTTATGGATGTTGTTATTGCTCTTGTCGAAGCTAGATTTTCGTGAAGTGCATGTAAACAACACAATTTAGCGATCTAAAAACTACAAAACAGGACAGAAAGGTCCATAAAATATACATACGTTTTAATGAAAATTAAAACAATATTTTGTTAAATGGAAGAATGCTAGCTAGCGATTAAAATAATTCGTTTTTATCGAAGGTAAATGTAGCTAGGGCCAGGGCCTAGAGAATCTACCACTTAGATTGCGATAGAACACGCTGCTGCACTGGTCGTTGGTTCATACTGGTAGGCTAGGTTAGGTAGTGGAAACTCACACCTTCTCTACAGTAGTTTAAAATTTTTTTTTAACGAATACCACTTGGTACTAGAGGTTCCTAAAATACAGTAGATGTTTTATTAAACAAGCCTTTCGACCATGTGACGTCGACGGCCTGAAACTGGCTGGCTGTTTATCTGGCTCTAACTTGGCATCAAACGCAATTAGGGGATTATCGTATCATGTTTCAAGACGGGTATATCTAGATAAAGTTTGACGTGAACCAGGCTATTGTCTTCATAGTTATTATTGTTGATCTTCTCACGGTTGCCATAGTTTATCTTTATTATTGTGGTTGTCTTTATTGTTGTATTCTTTTATTAATCATATTCATCTTCATCTTATTATTGAACATTTCAATGGATAAACACTGATCCATGACTCTAAATTTATTATTATATTTCAGGGAACTTTCTGAGCTGCAGATCTTTGCAAATGAGAATGGATTCAATGGGAAATTGCAACTATGGGACTTGGCATTTTGGACTGAAAGACGTAGAGAACATTTATTCAAGTTAGCAAATTCATTTTTCCTGGCAATTTATTGGATTGGTATCACTTCTGTATTTGTTATTTGGCTGGTAATTTGTAATAGACACAAATGGTGACCAGTAACCGAAGAGTAAAGAACTGCAAGGGTACGACTGCACTGATTTTGTATGCACGCAATGTAATGTTAAAAGAAGTACTCCCACAAAATAGGGGGTGCCCTATTAAACTTTGAATTTAGCTCGCTAGAAACTCGTTTTTTAAAGACACGCCCTTTGTGGCAGTACTTTTTGAAACAGGATTGTGTTCCAAGGAAACCACAGGTCTCTTGCAGTTCTATAATCTTTGGTGTAACATACAGTATGGTGCTATGTTGAGAAAAGCAATGTCAAGGGAAATCATTATGATCACTCATTCTAGAATTTTCAATGCAATTTTGGCTTTAGACTTTATATATATAATTGGTATCTTTATTCAAAAAAACTCCTTTATAAAAAAATACATTAGTAGCCAAAAGCTAAATTTGTACAAAAGGAAAACAAGAACGAGAAACAGCAAAAACATCACATTAAAACAATACAAAAGCAAACCCAAACCATCGGTATAAGTTCACTACGTACATCGGTATAAGTTCACTTTACATACAAGTTTGTGAATATTTCTTTTTTTTTACAGGATGAACGATGAAATACTGCGTCCATATTTTCCACTGCCAAAAGTTCTGCATGGACTATTTAACTTAACTTCTTTTTTGTTCAATGTTGAGATATTGGTAAGAAGATATTATATTTTCATGCAAAACAAAATATTTATTCTGGGTTTTTTTAGTTTCGTGTTTAGTTGTGAAGAAATAAGATAAAAATAAATTAAAATTTCAATCAATTTTCAAAGCTAAATCGTAATGTAAAAGGAACTTTTGAGGAAACTTGCCATAATATCATTAACATTTTCTTGTTCACAGCCTGATTATGAAAGCACTATAGAGACCTGGCATCCTGATGTCAAGTTTTTCAATATCAATGATGATGCAGGTAAAAAAGCTATACAATATATAGTTTTTATAATAGGCTCCTAGAAACAATAAATGAATATTGCAATAAATGCGCAACCCATATTAGATTTTGCTGACTATATCTTGGAGTTGCCCATCCTTTTAGACTGGTGTTGCAGTGCGCTCGCACTGATCATCACGAAAATGCTATGTTAAAATGTGAATAGGTGTTCATCGGTTAATATCTACTGCCCAGTAAAAACAAACAACAGAAATACAAACAAAAAATAAACAGATCAATAAGAAATATTAGCAAGTGTATATTTTATTAATTATTATTAATTAATTATGAGATGGTAGGTAAACACTGTATACAGCTTCAGTACCACATCAATTTTAAATGTACAATTCATATTTTCCTTACATATGAAATTCTGGACCTGTTTGACTAATCCCACAAGTCACTGTTACATTACAGTCTTTAAATAATTATTTGTTATGCTTTCATTTTTCCTCAGGAAATAGAATAGCATCATTTTATCTTGATCCCTTCAGTAGACCTGCAGAAAAACGTGGTGGTGCCTGGATGGACAGTTGTCTTGGTTGGTATAAATAAGCTGGGCAGATAGAGGGAGTGAAGACGGTGCGATCGCACCCCCTAAATTATATTAGGTGCAATTTTGGGGCACCTAAAGGTCCATATTGTCAAATTTTTCTCACCTCAGCCCCAACCATGGTGGGACTGTGGTGGTGTGGACTCTTACACACACCATACTGCCAAATCCTGCATCCGCCCCAGATAAGACTTTATGTACTAGTTCATATAAATATTCATCCCATTGAAACTTAAGTATTGAATAGATTTTATATGAGTAACCTCACATCAAATCCAATTGTTTCTTTTTATCGTCAAACGAATCATGGCTGGAAGGGAGACTGGCCTGTCTGGTGGAGGGCTTAATCTAACTCCTGTGCAGGAGTAAATGACAGTGCTTAAAATTACATTTTATATGAAAATAAATATATGGATAGAAACAAGGTTAATTGTGGGTAGCCTAATGCTTTTTCTTCAAAGTTTGAAAGGAGTAATTATGGTATTTTTATTGTCCAACACTATAGAGAAAAGTGAAATACTTGATCGACGGCCAGTAGCTTACTTGGTCTGCAACCAGTCGCCACCAGTAAATGGCAAAACATCGTTGATGACATTCAGGGAGGTGGAGACACTCTTTCATGAGGTATGTAAATGGGAAGTTTTTCAGGGGCATGCTTAAGTTATTTGTTCTTTCTAGGTTGTTTCAAGATAACTTCTTTGATTTAGAAATTTTCAATGAAAAAACATCACAGTTCTAGGAATAGGAACATTTCTATAAACATTGTACTACACAACGATTTATTTATTATTTATAAATATAAATGCATTCTTTCTTGAAACTTACCAGGCTCTTTCTTGGGTTATCCAATGTTAGTCAATCAACCATTCTTATTAATAGGTCCATGAATCAACCAACCACTCTTTCAATATCAATCAACATATAATAAATTGATCAATAATCAAATTAACCAATCACTCAACAACATTTGTCAATTATCCCATCTCCAACCAATATACAGTAAGTCAATTAATTAAACATCCAATTAATCTATTAATTCAATCAGATCATATAGATTATTGGATTTTATATATATAAACAAAATTAAACAAATAATTAATCAAACAATTTGATTAATATATACAGTATATATATATATATATATACTTGCCAACTTTCCCTAACTTGAATAATTTCTAGGTTGAGCTTATTTGACATGCCAAATTGATGTGTTTTCCATTAATTAACCATCTGTAAGTCAAATCGAACAAATTTTCAATGCCATTTTGGATTTGACTTAGACAAGTTCAACTGTCAATTAATATATAATCAATTAAACAGTCAGTCAATTCAATAGTCAATGAGACCACATTGATTTAGATTCCAAGGATAGGATAGGATAGGAGTATTTCGGTGTGACCAAGAATAACCCACTAAGACCGAAGACTTGTTTCCAGTGGGGACCTTCTGGTGGTGAATTGGGCAGTACACCGGGAGATAATCCCCTACTCTTTTCCGAAGAGTGTACTGCGTTCTTTAACGTGCACATGGGCCATAAATTCACACGGGACCAACAGCTTAAACGTCTCATCCGAAAGACGGTGCGCTCTTGTAACTTGTATTTCAGCCCTCTAGCTGAAACACAAGGAGAGGCAGCGATGGGAATTGAACCGGGGACCTAGAGATCTCCACGGTTCAGTGCACACACAGTGGCTACCACCAAATTAGCCGACTGAGCTAAGCTGTTCTCTTCAATACCTCTCTTTCTGTGTCTGCATGCAGTTTGGTCACGGTCTTCAGCACATGCTTACTAGAGTTCCTTACAGTTCTGCAGCAGGAATTAACAACATTGAATGGGATGCAGTGGAGCTACCATCTCAGTTCATGGAAAATTGGGTGTATGATGACCAAACGATGAAAGCCATTAGTGGACACTACATAACAGGAGAAGCACTTCCAAGGGAGCTCTTTTATCAGTTAATTAAAGGTAAGATATGATGATATTAATAATTCTTAAAAAAATGTTTATCCTTCCTCCATAACCTTAAGTTCCGGAGAAAAAAATTGATGTATGAGCCCAAGCTGCCATATTGCCTTGGATTTTTTTTTTTTCAAGGCAACACTTAGATCATGACCAATGTTTGGGTCGTGATGTTTTTTAAAGGGTTGTCGTTTTCATAATGCTCTACATAACAATCTGTCCACTAACTTAATAACTGAATACTAACAAATTGTCCCACAGGTTTAGGAATATTTTTTGGGCGATGAGAGGTACAATGTTTTATAGGCCCTCCATCTATCAAAGTCCCTCCCTGGGTTTCCTCTATTTCAAATTCATGGATCTGACAATTTAATATCTATATTATATTTCACACATTATTTGTAAGTGAATTTTTCACACATTTATTCTGGTTTTTGTCATTAGCCCGCAAGTACATGGCAGGGACTGGAATGCTCCGTCAACTGTATTTGTCGGCCCTTGATATTGAGTTGCACACAAGGTAAAAATTGGCTCATACTTTTTTTTTCTTAAACGAAAGAATGCAGTTAAGTTTAAATGAAAGAATGCAGTTAAGTGCAATAAGTGTAACATATATGCCACCATTATCAGTATGAACTGCTTGAAATTAAATGTATAACAAATAATAATAATTCAGGTTTATTTTTATTCACATAAAAAAAATAGCATAAAATTACTCATTTGCAGCAAGACCTGAATTAGGAGCAAAGTTATTAGTAAAATATTGACTAAAAATACTATACAAATGAGTTGACGAATAAATATTTACACATTGAAAAAGAATAAGTACATTAGTGAAATAAAATACACTATTAATATTTAAAAATTATTTAAAAAAATTCATCATAAATATTCAATATAACAATAGAATTATATAAAAACATGGATATATTAATACAAACAGTTGATAAAAGTTTTGCAAGTCATATACAAATGCAAACATAGGCAAAGGTTGGCTGACACGACCTAACATACTAATGTTTTGATGCAGCCTAAATTCTTTTAGATCTATAAAATACAGGATGAAATAAAATAATGTTAAAAATATTAACAGAATGCAATTTAGGACAGTAAGCCAGTTCGAACTATGCATGCCCGTATCAAATTTGATGACATAACCAAACATACATACACTGTACAGTAGGTTTATGTTGATTGACCTTGAATATGAGCATGCGCAATTCAAACTATGATTTGGATAATTACGCTGCAATTAATTGATCATTATCCTACCACCTTATAATCTACAGAAACATGTCACTTTCTGTAATTATTGACAAGTTTGATTCTGTTTTTAGCTCTGAACCGTGGTTAAGTGTGTTGGATAATGTAGCTGCTGAATACTCTGTGATGAAACCACTTAAGGTGTGTATCTCGGTTCAGTGTACAATATGGTCTATACACAGTAAGTTACTCTTCGCATGTCCAACGTATGAAATGTGTAGGCTGCTGGCACCTTGACCTCTGATGGAAAAAAAAAAATTTTGCAAAACATGGTGCAGTTATGAAAAAATTATTAATGTATTGTTGTTTATTTACGGTAAATATTGCAGCTGTTACGAGTTCCTCTCCTATTTTTCTTTCTTCCTAAGCTTCTTCCATATTTACATTAAATTTAATTTATTTTACTAAATGACATGCATAACGTATATATATATATATGTATATGAATATATCATTTCGATACATAGTTACATATTCTAACTGGACTCTAGACCTAGGCCTATGTATATATTGTGTCTGTATTTAACATATGTCAATTTTTGTCAATCTAAAGTCGAAGGTATGTCCTGGACCCTTTTATGTTCACTTGGATAGGCTTATCTTCATAAGACTTCTACGAATGGACACCTTTTTGAAGCAAGAAACCAAGTTGTCTTTACCCAGTACTGCTCGTATATTTTATTCGTGTAGCAAACTTTCAACATATACAGAGAAAATTACTCTTTAAAAAAAAAAAAAAAAAAAATAGAGGTGTAGCTGCATTGCAACTTTCGCAGGTCTTGCTCAGCCCAGTTTTTGTAATTGCTCACTAGGACAAATTTGTCTTAATTTACTTTACGTTTGTATTTGCAGGAGGATCGATTTCCCTGTTCATTCCAACATATCTTTGCCTCTGGTTACGCAGCTGGATACTATTCATACAAGTGGGCTGAAGTGATGTCTGCTGATGCGTTTGGAGCATTTGAAGACGTAGGCTTGGAGAACCGCGATGCCTTAGCTAAAACCGGTCGAAGGTACAGTATAGAATTGAAGTAACATGTCATGCAAGGGCTTGAGGTGCCCCTTATTTTTTACCTCGCACATGTTTTCATTTTCCACAAATACTTCCATAGATATTGTAAGGATAAAATTTCCCTCTGCCCCTTCTTGGTGGCACTGCCTTATGTGCTTAGAAAGATTGAATGAGGAATGTCCCCTTAAAAATTACTCATTATTTTTTTTTAGATTTAGGGAAACTGTCCTGGCACTCGGTGGCGGAACACATCCAAGTGAAGTCTTCAGACAATTCCGAGGGCGCGACCCATCCCCAGATGCTCTCCTGAAGTCTTATGGACTGTCGTGAGCTATCATTAAAGACACAACTGCGAAAGCGTTAAGAATGATAGAGAAGATGAAGGGTAGAAAGTTGGCAAGTGCATCATCTCAAGTGTTAGAATGAAGCTTGTAGATGTGCCTGTTCCAGTGGTTGCTGCGCAGAGCATATACATGTATCTCTTGCACATTGCTGGTGTATGTAGCTTATCACATCAGCATCATCATAATATTTTACCACATGGTCAAACATTATCTGAAAGATCACTGTCTTATCTTTTAAATTTATATTTTGTAGAGCACATTAGCAAAAATCGTTCACTACCATTTGTAAGAGTTGGTCATTGCAATAGCGTTACATGGCTCCCAGCCAAGGTAATTGCGGCGAAGTTGACTACTTTTAGGAGCAAACGCAATTCTTTGTATAGTAACAACCGTGCTTGAGAAAGTATTAATGAGTCAGTCTCTAAAGAACATGATGCAATTTGTTACAATTTAAGTTTGCTTGATAATATAGCTGCATCCATACTAAGCAATCCAAAATGCCATTGAAATATTGTTTGACTTAGATAAAACTTACAGATTAATTATTGTATTAATTAATGTAAAAAACAACAATCTGGCATGTAAAATTAGGTTGACTTGGGCAAGGTTAACTGTTTATTAAAAAAGAAATAGAAAAATATTACCTTTGAAGTCACCAAAGAAATCAAAATAGTATATGTTTCTTTACATCAGTTGCAGCATTTAATATTGCAGCCAAATAATATAGGGATGGTCTATTTACATGACCAGAAATAGCTTATTCTAATTTTCAATTGAAAGCTCAAACTTTTGCTAAATAAACAAACTAAGCAAGTCAAATATTGAAGTTCTTTGTTATATTACAGACCATTTTAATATTTATTACTGACATGAATACAGATAAATCAAACACCTCTTAGGTGAGGATTATTGCCATGCATGCCAAAACCAGCATCAGTCAACAACACAAAAAATTTGACTTTTTTGATATTAAAGTTCATATTCTCCAAATTATAAGCATTAAAATGATAGGTCATTTATTGGAATTGGCTTACTATTGTTAAAGTTATGAGTAAAAATGTTACAGTACTTTCTTGTGCTAAATTACTCGGTTTGAGAATGTACCCTGGTTTTAAGATGTAAGCCTCATAAAACAGAATGTGACAATCAACTAAAGAAGACTAGTTTAGAAAACAAAAGCAGGATATCAGTGCAATTTCTGGCCATCTATGAATCCTTACACAAGGCAAACTCTGGCCGACACCAATGATCTAAATTACCCCTGCAATAGTAGGGCGCTTTTGACTGTACCCATGTGACCCTCAGATGGATTCCTACAGCCATGATCGTCCTGCAGATTCTGACAATGTAGATTCAGCTCAAAGCATGTCTTAGAATTTAGATGACAACAATACCCCTATGCCTGTGCACATGATTTCATCCCAGATGAAATTGCTCGTGCAATTGAAAGTTCTGTAAGAGTAGGTCATTGGAACATAAGATAAGCCTCTATCACTAGCTGCTCGCTATTTTACATCCTAGGCCTTGCAAGAACAGTCAAGCGTGGATACAGGGAAAGAGCAGTTGTTAATCTATGAATCATAGGTTTTGCAAGAGCAGTTCTTCATTGCTAGGCCTCATAGTTGGAGCTCTGATATCTTATCCAGGAAACTTGCAAATGGCTTTAATGCTGGCTGAACCTCTTCTATAAGAAACTTTGAAACCTGAAACAAAAACATTAGGATTGTGAATGATAGCAATTAAACATTTAGTTAACACAAAGGGTCAAGACTTGTATAGGAATTCACTGATCCAGATAAGAGCAGTCAGGTAATAATAAGTAAATGCATTTCAAGAAAAGAACAAAATCAAGAATGATATGACCCAAATTTTTACACTGAATATGAATGGGAGATCAAGGGTTGGCAAAGACACAGATTCCTGAAGACATTGTAGAGATCATCAATATGGCGATTTTTTGGTATTTGATGTTAGGAGGTGAATATTTTTGTGGACAGATTGAAGGAAAATTAAAGTGTAACCTCTGTGCATCTGTCTTCAGCTCTCCCAATTCAGGAAAACTAGTAACTGATATGCTTCCTAATATTTATCAGCTTACTTGTTCTGGCGCTCTGCCGACAAATGAAGAAGGATCCAACATCACATCCAAACTACTGTGAATGGGGCTGAAATATAAGGAACTCTTGATACGTAAAACAAGGTCGTTTTCACCACCTTCTTGCTTGACAACAGCGGCTGCTTCCTGTGAAAGTTTCCGTATCTCTTCATGACATTCCTATGGGAATCAAATACGTTTTTCCTTAAATAATGATAAAAATGTTGTAACCTTTCTAGTATTTTAAAAATTACTTTATAAAATATCCCACCATTATAATGTCTTAGGCAAACCTATAAACCATAATGCCATAGACATGGCAGGACCCATAGGTAGGATCAGACAAATGAAGCTCTTCCTCCTGGACCATGTGTTGTACCCCTTTCGGACCACTGGTCCTCACGTAACCCCTGCAAACATTTTTTAATCTGCCACTGGTCTGAGGTCAAATGTTACCTGTCGACTTGCCCCTGCTTTCACCATTGCCATTATGATGTTCTCTGTCGCCATAAACGGCAGCTCTTGGTTGATACGTCTCTCTATTACCTGCAAGCAAAACAATTCAAAAATAATCAGTGTACAGTTTTTCTAACAATTATTCTATTTTAATCAGTGGCGGTGCAAGTCTATTAGTAGACTATAATATATCTATAAAATAAGCGTCTGAAACCCCTACATTGTCATATTTTTTGGGGGCTTCGCCCACTGGACCACTTTCAACGTATTTTGAGCGATACCTGACTATGCTCACTTCGGGCCACCCCAGCATGTTTCCCCCCAAAATTTTACCTTCCTCTCACTTGCCCCCGCCCCCCACCCCACCCAGATTTCAACTCTGGCGCTTCCACTGAATTTAATTTATTCCCTTTAGCAATTACAATTGTTACTGTTCATGTCATGAACTCTTGTCGTCTTTGCCATTGCTACAATTATTATTACTGCACAGCTAAAGCGGCATACAGTAGCTCAGTAAACTACTATTATGATTACTGCCACTAAGTAAATGATCTGTTTTATGTAAATGATTTGAATAAATCAATTACTAATGCCATTTAATTGCCTGTCTAACCAAACAATTCATGCCACTGTTAATTACTTTGATATTTACCTTTGGGTAAACGACAAGTCCTTCGGATATATTCTGTAACGTGCTAAGCACGATGTCAGCTGTTAAAAAAGCCTCTGCTAGGCATATTCTTCTAGAAAATTCAACAAATGGAAAAATATTGTAAAATAATAAGAATGATTATGAGAATAACTCAAAATTCAACTGTATTCATCTTTTTGGAAATATATTTTGAGAATAGCATTGAAACTATTTTCTATATTGTCCTCAGAACTTAAATGTAAATGCTTAACAGGAAGGAATAGAACATCATTGTAATAATGATGGATGAATTAGATAACAAAGTTACCAACTGTCTCGCATCGTGTGGGACTGTCCCGCATTTCAAAGTGATTTTGGATGACATACAAATTTTGCAGAAACACATGCATGATCTTAAATTTGTCACGCATTTAGCACAAGTGTATGTGTGATAACAAATTATCACATTTTCAGGGGAAAATACATTAAAACAGAAGAAATTTGTTAAAAATTTAAAAACGATCATGCAGTAACTTAAGTCATTAGAGAGCTTTCATTATCTCATTCGAGAATCAATTCACTTTGAAAATTTCTCTTTCCCATTTACAAGTTTATGTAGGGCCTACATAGTCAGGTGCTCAAATTAAACATAGGCCTACATTAAAACTTTTACGTGGCTCTGTCCCTGGACCTCCGGTGCCCCCCTCCCCAGCCAACTGGTGTAGTCACTCACTCATTTCAAATCTCTCAGGTTGGTAACTATGAGATAAAAATAACACTAATATAGATTATTAGATTAATATTTTTTATAAGTAATAAATTCACCTATTTGCACTGTCGTCCAGAGTACGCTCAAACCACTGGACTGAATGTGTCTGCAGAGGATCGATTACGAGGGTCATTAGATGCCTGGCCAGAGAACAACAACGCTCACTACGCATTGGATTTCGCTTATATGGCATTGCACTGGATCCTATCTGTTCCTTTTCAAAGGGTTCTTCAAGTTCTTTCAAATTTGCTAGCAGTCTAATATCTGTGCAGATCTGTTTTTCACAAAAAAATAAAACAAAAAAAACTTTTACAAATAAGCAATTTAAATACTATATGCTAATGCTTCACAGAAAACACTGTACAAATTCATGTAGACGGCACTTAATCAATTTTGCATCTTTTCACCTTGTGGACAGTTGCTCCAAGCCCTGCCAATGCAGACAGAACATCAACATCCACCTTCCGGCTGTAGGTTTGTCCAGTTATTATATAAGCTCTGAAGAAAAACAACATCTGTGTATTTAATATATATTTTGAAGGTTTCCATGTATTGTCCTTATCAGGAATTGAAACCAACTTAGTTATGTACATGCGTATTAGGACATATTTCTTTTTTTAGGATGTTTTTTATAAGTACTCACTGTTTAAAACCAGCCATCTCTGTAACGATTCGATCAAGCATTTCTACTTTCTCAGAATTCTTCTCAAAGAGCGCCAAAAAACTGGCTTGTGTCCCTGTTGTTCCTTTTACTCCACGAAACTTGAGGTCATCTCTGGCACGGGTCAGGTTGCGAAGATCCATGCAAAGGTCACTGATCCAGAGACAAGCTCGCTTCCCAACTGTAGTGAGTTGTGCTGGTCTATGTATTAAAAAAAGCATTAAAAAAAAATTTACCTCATACAACTAAAATTTACACCCTAAAATTAGGGTTGAAACGCACCCTCACTACTGATCATGAAGACACTGTGTAAAAAAATAGGCAGCTAAATATATACTGCACTGCCAAAAAGAAATCAAATGATTGGCAAATGTGATCCCTAACTTACTGTAAAAGAACCTAATAATAGGCAAATGTGATCCCTAACTGATCCCTTACTGATAATGAGTAAAACCTAGAGTTGCTACACTTTTGTTTTCTTCTGCAAAAACTGACAGACGTTGAATGCATCTTGCAAGACGGGGGAGTACTATGTTTAAAGCATCACGCAATACGATCAAGTCCTAGAAAAAGACAAGGAATTATTAATGTGGCACAGCACCAGTCACAGCAAAAAAGAACTTGTCTCTTTACCTCTCATTTTAGCATATTAGATATATTACATATTTTGCTTACCTGATGGCAATACTACTGTATTTATTGTTAAACTTTGCAATAAATTTGTATTCAGTATTATATTTATATATATTATATATAATTATATTATTTTATAATGTATTTAGTATGGTTGCAATAAATTTGTATTGAGTATTATATTTATGAACATTTGTAAAGCACCTTTCTTTGCAGATACGAAGCGCTGTATCCCACATATTTAGGCACCTCACAACCCACAAGCAGCCGTGATCATTGCCTAACCCTAGCACAGAACAAGTAAACAAATCAAAAGAAGCAGTGGCAAAGCTTGTAAACATGAGTAAATAATGCAACAATAAAAATAAAAATGGGATAATTAGTTAAAGAGATGAGTCTTTAAGTTAGACATAAAGACAGCCACAGATGGTGAAGATCGAATGTGCACTGGAAGGTTATTCCATATTTATATAATATATTATATAATTATATTATTTTATAAAATTTAGTATGATGACTTACAGTATTGTCGCCAACGTAGCATGAAGTTGCGCCAAGGTGAATTATCCCGGCCGCTTTCGGACAGCACTGAGCGAAGGTGTGGACATGTGCCATGACATCATGACGCCTTCGTTTCTCCTCCTCTTCTGCCATATCCCAGTCAATGTTCTCAATATTGTTCTGCATCTCTACAATCTGTTCATCCGTTATTTTCAAGCCCAATGTCTAATAGATGAAATAAATCTTGTATAAAAACAAAATGAATATTTTACCTATTTATTTAGGGCCAAGCAAACGACCTGGCAGTGGTATTTGTAAGGTTAGTTACAACAGGCAATTATAGAGACTGTCCTTGTTTCAATGTTTGTTTTCAAATAATTCATTTTTGTAAGAAGCAATTTATTCCTGGTGAATTTCTAGTTTCATCAGTTTAGGGAAAATAGAAAAAATCATTAGATTATCACTCCCGCCCGCATCAAAAATTTAGGGATTATTGATGCAGGAATATTTAATTTTTTTTTTTGCTGCACCATTTATTTTTACGCCGTGGCTAGAGATAGAGATTTCTATTGGCTAATCATGACGTAATATCATTTACCATACCTTTAGCAATTGGAAGTTCCGATACGGTACCGTATCTCTAGCCACGGCGTTATTTTTACTGCATAAAAAAAAACTTTTCAAAAAGCAACTGCTCACAAAATATAAAGGAATTGGTTCCGACTGATTAGACATTAGTCGCCGTTAAGTTTAATGCAAAGCCCATTCTTTAAACTTGTTGTTTCAGGCCCGTAGCCAGGGGGGGTTCCTGTGGGTTTGGCCAAACCCGCTTTTTCAGCAAGCCCCCCTTTGACAAGCGAACCCCCCTTTAACAAACAAACCCAATTGTGACTTAAGCAATTACATTGCTATTTTGATTTCTAGCAGTAGATATATATTGATGATCAAATTTTCTTAATTTCAGTGTTTTTACTGTGCATTGTTGACAACTGTCTTGAAATCCTGTGTTGGAAAGAAGTGATCATGCATACTAGTACTCTTATACTCCCTTTCATTGGATAGATACAAAAATATATTTCATTTTAAACTGCAAGAAGTGTTTAAATATGCTATTATTTACTTTCTTTGAAAGTGTAAATAGCTCCGACTTCGGGGAATTCACCCCCTCCCCATAAGGCCTTTGCCACATTGATCATACCGGGGGCCCTTAGACGGGCACCTGGACCTCACGCCCTGAACTCCCCTTCCTCCACCCCTGGCTGAAGCTGGCTACGGCCTGTGTTTACTGTCACTCAAGTGCGATTCATCATGGACCGCATGGTGCATGCAGCTACAGTATAAAACTAAAATGCTAGGCTAGTCAGCTAAGTTAAGTCGAATGTCTTCTTCAATTGGTTAAGGGTTATGATTGAACATTGAGAAGATATTCAACATCAATTGCATACCCGTGATCCATGGATCGCACATTGTAGGCTAGCTAGCTAGCTAACTAGCATACAAAAACAGGGCCTGGTTGAAGCAGCCAGGCACGTGTAACCTGTCCCAATCCTACTCAATAGCGAATAGAGCCTACTACTACTAACTAGGCCTAGGCTAGGCTAGATTACCTGCTGAGCTTTTGCCAAATAAAGCCAGAGTTTACGCCATGTCGTAAACTTCTTCTCTTCGCTGAAATTGAAAGCCATTTCCTCGCTAGCATAACGAGCGACAAGAGGGGACCTGTATTTTTTTAACTGCTCACGTTCCATTTTTTTGTTTTAATTTTTAATTTTGGCCACTTTCTTTTTAAAGTCCAACAATCTTTTCGCGCGAAAGAATGTGTGGTGTTGAAGCCTTTTAAATTTGAGGGCGCTCTTCAATGACAATGTTTGTTGTCAACATCATTGAGTCTTGATGATACCCTGCGACGATATATTGCCTGCGACTCTGCTGCGAGCGCGATGTTTTGTCTGGACTCTGGTGCCATATAGGTTGGGACAGCTAAATTGGGACTCTTTGGATATTTACTTCAGGTTCCATCCTGCGATGGATGTGTCCTTATATTCTTGAGGATGCATCTATACTTGCTTCCTAATTGTGTGGTAAGTTTTGTAAAACGATCAAGCAAAAATAGTCGGAAGATACGGCTTGAATGAAAATAATAAAGTTTTGGGCTGTTTTGTGCGGACGAGGCGTTCTGTTGTTGAATGTGGCGCGGCTCGAAGCAAAGGGGTTTATTCATCAGAACAGAATGCCCGGTTCTGATCACCTACACTCCAGTTTCAGATTTCGGACGTAAATATTATGTAATTGAAGATATACATACATACATGTTAGTATTTATGCGAAAATTATCGTATTGCCCTTGCCGACTAGGCCTAGTTTGTGAATATATTTGTAAGTGTACACAATTTAAAAAGTGAATTTATGGAGTTAAATTTCATTTAAAAAACTACACAGATGTGTTTAGGAGGAGGGCCTAGGTTAGGCCTAACCCCTCCTACTGAGTACTACTGTGTTGCTGTCTATGTCCCTGGTGACCTGTTGACCTTTTCTGTTCACAAAATGAATGGTAGCCCTTGAAAATAATTCCATTCCCAGCTTTATAAACCTTTGGCCTACCCTCCTAGTTTTCTTACAAATTACCACTTTAACCCCACCAACATTTGTTTGAATCATTTAACAAAATGATTCTCCATTTTACACATTACACTTAAACTTTATTATTAATTTACCAGAGTTTTATTATTAATATAAGCTTTCTATATTGAAAACGTAGAACAAATCCACTCATCCGTGACTGCCATCGCATGCATTCTACGTTCTGTAAATCAATTTCGATTTTTTTTACGACTTGTGTGCGGAGAAGTCAGGAACACAAAGACAGTTGGCATTCTGACCTCAACATACATTCGGCCAACGACCGTTTTATATTTCGAGAGAGAACGTAACGCACAAACGTTAAGACATAAATTAACATGATGCCATTACATTCTATATCATTGCAAATTTAAAGCTCCCTGCTAATCGATCCATTTAATCGTAAATAGATTCAATCAGAAAGTGTTATGGATAACATATTGGGCCAACATCAAATAGGTCCTCCATGGAAATAAGCCTTGGAATAAGTTTGTTGGATTTTTTTCAGAATCACATTAGGTTTTACTGATTTGTTGGTGGTGAACCGTAGCTACTGTACCCAGTGGCGGCTCTGGGGGGCGGGAGGCTAAGCTGTCTGACAGAGGGCTTGAGCTTGTAAGCCTGAGGTGGGGGGGGGGTTTGGGAATGGCTGTCCACCCAAATGAGATTTTTTTAAAAAATAGGGACCTCTGGATGGCCGGAAATGACTGTGAAAGACATGTTATAGCTTGGTGTAGGCCTATTTTAAAATTTTTTTTTGGTCCAACTGCTCGGCCGGTAAGGGAGGCGTGACTTGTCCGATGGGGAGTCTCTGTTCACCCCCTCCCCCAGCTGGCACAGCCACTGACTGTACCTCGTCTCCAAGGCCCCAGCTGAAAATTTCAAATTTAATAGAGAAAAAGACTGATAAAAGTATTTGAATTTAATTCTTTATTTTTGGCTATGTACCCAAAAAATAATGGAATCGGTAATGACAAGAGAGTATTTTATGAAATCAAGCTTGATTTTTTGTCCTTTTCCAGCCAATGTCCTAACAGAATTTTAAAGGATATTTAATTTTACGGTGCTAACTTTCAAGAATGGGTAAGGATACTGACCTTCTACAGGCTATCCGCCTTGAAGATGTTGCCGTGGTGATGAAGATTGTCGCAAAATTCAAATCAAAATCAAGTAAGAAATTTTTTCTTCAGAGATCTTTTTATTTCAGGTACCAGTCCTATTCCTTGAATAATTAAGTCTACTTCGTAAATACTTACCTGAATACAGAGCAGTAAATCACCTAATTGAAATTTTGAAGGTTTTACTTCCCTATCTGGATTAATTCAGTCAAAATTTGTTTCTAAAGTTATATACTGTGTATCAAGGTGTCTGTATTCATAATCAACATCAAAAAGAAGTTATAATTTCATTAAAAAAAGTGTGACCATAGAAGTTGGTTTGATCTAAAGTGTCTCCAAAATAAAGAAAAATGATGTTCCTTTAATAAATAATTTTGATATGCCCAGTTCTACCACCCAAAAAACAAGAAGGAAGTGTTGCGCTAAAAGTATTCATTACTCACATTACCATTGTGCTACATTTTTACAATCGTTGTTATCCTTATTACCAATAGAAGTACAGTACTAACAGAACAGGGATATTTATTTTATTCATATTTTGAAAATTTTGTCAATTCATCGCGTTCGTGTTCAGTTTGAAAATTCAACAAGGATAAATTCCCATTGTTTTCGTTGTCGTACCCATTGCACCATTTTGCCCATGTTTTAGACAAAATAATTTAAAGGTATATGTAATGGTACTGTAGATATGAATTTCATTCTAATATTTTACTTTAAGTTAAATTAAAAATGATCACCCTTTGATCGAGGTGGCCCCATAATATGATTGTTCCAAGTACTGATGTCCACTGTGTTTTTATAACTGTAAGTAACATGCCATGACCTTGTTGCTCAGGTTTACTATATTGCTCAATATTTAAGTCCCTACTGAGAGACCACAAGTATTTACTAAGTAAACTAGTTAATGTAAACACTTCTTGTGAAAGAAAAGGGAGAAGAAGATATGTGTGAATCTAAACCAATTTTTATGTGAACAGAACAATAGTACATAAAATAGAGGAAGATGTGAAATAAACTTAACTGATAGCATACCAGTATAGAATCAAATTCATTCTATTCATTCTTGTCACATTTTCATTGACACCGTTGACCCCTAATTTAAGTCAGTGCTCATCGTTTCTATTTTAGTACAGTAAAATGGAAGATTTTTTTATTCATTGTAGCTTGATGATCAAAGGCACCATTGTTAACTATATCTCCATTTACAAATTGTTGAGTAGATTTATTATTGCAGCTTTCACAATAAAGAGGAAAGTCTATGGTTAATGTCCTATTATAAGCATTGGCTATAGGTTGTACTGTAGCATGGTAATGGTAAAGGTAGGATATTTGTAGAGCGCCTTCCACAATAACATCGTCTAAAGGCGCTGACAGTATACAGACCCAAAGTCAGATTGGAAAAAAAAAAAATAAAGAATAATATAATCAAACAAGCCATTCAAGTAATGATGTCAGATGGCAGGCCAAACCGCCAACATGAAAGAGAAAGGAAATGCACACTCTCGATATTGACACAATACACCCCCATCTGCTTCACGCTACAGAAACTGGGGAAGCTCCAGCCCCGTGAGCCCTAGTGGCCTGGCAAGGATTTATTTTTTTTATTCATTCAACTTTACCCCCTTCCTGAACTTGAACTCATGGTAATTCAATTGGAAGCCCAAGACTATGTCTCATTCTTCCACATGAGCTCTGCAGTACAGTACTGTCCCTGTTTAGGAATAGTGGAGAGGAATGTCTTTACATTGTTATTGTTTACATTTCCTTGTGTTTGTTATTTTTAGGTAGATTTCACATTACATGAAAACACAAATCACTTTACAACTAGTTTGTTATTTATCTTACCCCACAAGCATAATATTGATATATTGTGAGCCCAAAATAAACTACCACTCTGGAAATTCTATGACAATTTAAACTTGAATTTAGTTTAAAACTAGTTATACTGTACATAGTGTATATTAAGTACTAGACCTAAGAAGTAAGCATGGTGTGTGTAACTACAGTACGGCATGCATGGATGTGTAGTGTGGGAAAGAAGGAGCTAAGTTACGATAGGTAGGATGCTTAGGCATTGTTTAGGATAACAATAGTCTTGCTTACTATTGTTATGTCACAAAACAAGTGCCTATGTGTTCATTGTGGCATGATTATTCAGGTCAAAGTTTAAACCAATAGTATGCTCCCCTTTATAAAAGTAAACAGAAAGTGGAATTGCTTCGTTGTTATATTTATTTATATTAAGTGATGTCTTGAATAGAACCGGTAGACAAAAAATAAAAATATGGTGTATTAGTCACTTAGAAAACTTTTTTATAATAGATCAACTTAGTTGCTTTAATTACTTAAGGTTAAAAGTTATTTTGAAAAATGGGTTGAATGTAAAGGAAGGAATTTTATGCTCTAATTTGTTAAATTTGTGTCCACTCTGCTTCAACGATTTTCAAAAATAAGTTTGTTAAGGTATGAAAAGACTTTTGCCTTTAAAAGGGTACTAGAAATATGATATTTTTTTTCTAGAGGGGATTTTTGATGTCATTAGTAGGCCTACAGTATAGCATGGAGCTATAGTAATAGAATCAACTTAAAAATGTTTTTTTGGCAATTTTTTATGATTTTACGGGCCATTACAATTTCCCCCTTTAGCAGTGTGACGTCAGTGTAAGCTTCTGCAACCAAAGATCATATAGCGCTGCATATAGCGTTGCACGCTGCGTTATTTTTTGGCACAACAGCTGCTGACGTCACATTGCTAACGGGGAAAAATCGTAATGGCCTATAACTTCATATAAAATTTGCCAAAAAACGATTTTGAAGTTGATGCAATTTCTAGTGACATATCAAAAATCCCCTCTAGAAAAAAAAATCATCTTTCTAGTTCCCCTTTAAGATGTCTCTATGAAACCCATGAGAATTGTATTTTTCACTTCATTTCCCTTATTTAATTGACCAGTAAACCACAACAGAATTAAGTGCATATTGATTGCCGCAGTTTGCTGGCAACATTATGAAGTGCTCAGGAGCTGAGTATGTGTCGCATTGGTGTAATAATAACCAGGTAATAATGCAAAGCATATACTTAGCATTACTCCCATCTATTTTATACTGTATTTATTCAATAGGCTGTACTTAATTAACTTAATAATTATAAATCTTACAGTGTACTGCAAGTATTTTAATATTAAAGGATTATTCAATACTGTATAACTACAGTACATAAGGCTGATAGTTTTATTTTATTTTATAGAACAGTTAAGAATATATAATTAGGCTAAAATATTAATTTTATTAGGGATTGCTTGGTAGAACTGAACTAAAGTAATGTGGGTTAAAATCTTATTATTTTAATAAGGATTATTCCGTGGAACTGTATAAAATTATACTAATATCTTAAAAATTTTAATAAGGATTAATCGATAGAACTGTACTGAAATACTGTAGGTTAAAATTTTAATAATAAGGATTATTCAGTAGAACTATATAATTAGGCTAAAATATATTTTAATAAGGATTATTCAATAAAACTGTATTTAAATAATGTAGGTTAAAATCTTATTTTAATAAGGATTATTCAATAGAACTGTATGTAGGTATTCGATAGAACTGTATTTACAGTAATTAGGCTACAGTAAACCTTATATTTGAATAAAGATTATTCAATAGAACTACTGTATACTTATAAAAATTATGGTAAAATATAGATTATTTTAATAAAGTATATTCAGTAGAACTGTACTTATACATTAGGGTAAAATATATATTATATCATAACAATTATTCAATAGAAGTGTACTTATACAATTAGGGTAAAATATGTATTTTATTAAGGATTATTCAATAGAATTATACTTTTAATTATGTTAAAATCTTATATTTTAATGAAAATTATTCAATAGAAAAGTAAACAAACTAAATTGAGATAAAGACATGGAACAAAAACACTAACAAACCAACTTGTCCGAAGCAGTTATAAACGGAAACAAATTTCAATTATAACGGTACTCTTTAGTTTGTTTGTTAAGGCTGTGCTGGTGATGGTTAAACAGATCCACTACTGTTTTACTGATTTATGCTAAAATATGGATTCAAGAATTAGTTCCTTTATTAGATAGATGATGCCTATCAAAGAATTAGAGCATTACCAAACACTTCCTCTCTCACTTAAGGCACTGGTTTGAAATGAAACTGCAATCTGAGAGACAGAAAGATGCAGAATATGTCTCTCTTCTTTATTACCCAATACACTGGTTTTTTTTTACATTAACAATAAAAACAAATATTTAATATAATATATTTTCGGATAAAAAGAGGTTGAAAAGAGGCAACTACTGTACATACTGTACAGGTTTGACATCTTACAATCTTTTAGTATACTTTAGTAATGCACTATGGATTGATTGATTGAATTATTGATTTATTTATACTAAAAATAATAATAATAAGAAATGCTGTAAGAGAAGTTTTTACACTAGAAAGATTCGGTAACGATTTATCAGTTATGCGATAACATATTTTAACAAATCAAATCAGATGACGTCATAATCATGAAAAAAACATTAACATCGTAGTAGTAGTAGCAACGATTTTATCGTCTTACCATGATTATGACGTTATCTGATTTGATTTGTTAAAATATTTTGTTATCGTATACACGATAAATCGTTATCGAATCGTCCTAGTGTAAAAACTTCTCTTATTTCTTTCGTTTTCTATATGAACAATCGCTTTTTTAGATTTTTTATCGTTATCATAAGTATAAACAGTATGGATTTAAACAATTTATACATTCCTATATTGGGAAAGATGTCTGCAGTGCAGTAGTGTTGAGTTTTCATCCAAATATACCTCTGCTAAAGTTGCTTAGTTATGAAGCGATCAAAAAGCTCCCACATACATATACATACACACTCACCAAAGATCTTATAAATACAAGATAGCGTTCTCCACGATTTCTGCGTGCAAATTCTGTAATAACGAAGTGTACAGCGCCCTCTTGCAAAAATGAAAACTTTCGAACTTTGACTGCTTAGACCATAGTGTACGCCGCGCGAC